GCATTTTTTCCCAAGAGCATTCCAAAGATCTGTTTTTATTGTTGTTCTTTTTGATCTATCCTCTTTGAGGGTAAGCTATCTAAATCTTTTTTTCTACATAATGCTTAGCACATATTTGTCATTTTAATGTTAAATAATCACTATTGTGTTTTGGGTACCTGAAAAGCCAGTTAGGCAAATAGATGGCTATAAGAAAATTAGAAATTAGATTTCAAGAAGGAAAGTTAAAGTTTGCTGTCTAATAAGTCAAATGAAATCAGACTGTACTTCTACGAATTCCTTGCAATTTGGCAATGTCTGTGCTTCTACAGGATAGTAGAAGACAGACCCAAGGAGAGAAACATAAGCTATGTGTCAGGATCCAGTTGTGATAAGCATGGCCAAGTTCCAACGTGTATTCTAGATCTGTGTTGTGCAGCACTGTGACTTGAGCTCCAGGCCTCACGCTATTTTTTTTTTTTGGCTTACAGTTGGCGATCTACCACTTAAGCTTTGCTTCCACTTTTAACTTTTTGCTGATTAACTGGACATGGACATCTCATGGATTTGTCTGCCTAGGCTGGCTCTGAATCTCTTTTCAGATTCTAACATCTTAAGTAGCTAGGATTATAGGAGGGACTACCAGTGCTCAGCTGTTTTTTTACTTATTTAAATTCTTTGATTCCTTTTAAAACCTACAGTGTTATCTACTTCTTTGCTGTTTTTTCATGTGGGTCCTGGGCTTAAACTCAGGCCTGTGCTCTGTCCCTGAGCTTTTTTGCTTAAGTTAGTTCTCTACCTTGACCCATAGCTCCATTTCTGGCTTTTTGATGGTTAATTGGAGATGAGTCTCACAAACGTTCCTATCTGGGCTGGGAAGGTGGCTCAGTGGGAGAGTGCTTGACTTGCATGCATGAGGTCCTGGGTTCGATTCCTTAGCACCACATAAGCAAAAAAGAAAAAAGAAACCGGAAGTGGCGCTGTCGCTCATGTGGTAGAGCGCTAGCCTTGAGCTGAAGAGCTGAGGGACAGCATCCAGGCCCAGAGTAGAGTTCAGGCCCCACGACCAGACTAAAACAATAACAAAATAACAAAAACAAAACAACAAAAAAACACAAAATGTTCCTATCTGGGCTGGTTTCAAACTGAGATCTTCAGATCTCAGCCTTCCCAATAGCTAGATTACAGGCATAAGCCATAGGTACCCAGCTTATTTACTTTATTATTTCTATGATGCACTTGTCCCATCAATTTGATGATTAACATATTTCAGTATCATTTATAGACTGCTTTCAAAGTTTCCATCCAAAAATATTCCTGGCAACAAGGTGCACTGAAAGGTACCTTTATTAGAAAGAAGCAGGAATCCAGGGAGGTGAAGAATTCTAATGTGGGTGGCTAGGCAGTGTCATGTGAAGGTGGAACACCACAATGAGTGCTGTTAAGAGAGAGACACAGGGGGATCTTCCTTTTCACAACACTCTGCTAGCCAAGATCCAAGAACGTTTAAGCAAAAAAACATGTCCAAATGGTCCTGCTAAATGGTCTCACTCTGGAAACCCCACTGTCTCAGAAGCTGAGACAACATTAGAGGGGTGAAATGCTGTTCACCTTTAAGCTAGTATGTTATAGTTGTGCTACTTAGGGATGGAGCAGTTCACAGCCATGTCTTTAACAATGAACACAGCGATCCTCTATTATAAGGATGAATTAAAAAGAGGAAGGATATTTTTGAAATTTGAAATTGTAAGAATAGTATGAATAGTCCTCTTCTCCAAATATGCGCTGTACAGAAAAAGGTATTATTAGGGGTTGTGAGTAGGAGTTTACATTTGTTCAGTCATATCAAGGGCATTTTAATCACCATGAGCAAACAAAGGTAGCCCTACAGCTGAGAGGTTAAGTCAGTCATTTTTAGCAACATCAAATATAGTTTAATAATGGCACATTAATTCTGTACCACCTACTAGATACCACATGCAACGAAACAGAGCTCCTAATAAGGTATATTTATGGAAGGAGTTGAATTGAGAACTAGGCTTCCAAAGAAATATCTGGAAAGTAATATTTAAATGAAATACTTTAGATGAAACAAGATTAGGGACTAGGAAGGTGGCTCGGTGGTAGAGTGCTTCCCTCGCATGCATGAGGCTGAGTTCGATTCCTCAGCACCACATAAGCAGAAAAAGCTGGAAGTGGCGCTGTGGCTCAAGTGGTAGAGGGCTAGCCTTGAGCTGAAGAGCTGAGGGGCAGCGCCCAGGCCCAGAGTTCAGGCCTAATGACATACAAAAAACAAAAACAAAAAACAAAAAAACCCAAGATTAGAACAAACAGTACATGTTTCCATTATCATTCCACAGTTGTCACATAATTACATACCTGATTCTGGGTTTACTAAGAAGCTTCCGTACACCCTCTTTAACAACTATAAAATTAAAGAAAAACAAAAGTTAATCCAAAATCCACAATGAACCTGTCAAGTTCTTTCAGGAGAGCATTTTTCTTAACTTTCATTTGGGGGGCGGGAGGGTAGGAAACTAAAGGGACAAGTGGATTTATCTAAATCGGGTCCTTCATTGAATGGGATTAAACTTCAAAAAACTAATCACCCACTCAGTGTTTCTGTTCTCCTTGGGATCCTACATAGCACCCAATCATTTTTGTTTTCAAAGAGAAGCATGACAAATACAAGGGAAAGGATAGATTATGTTAGTATCAACTAAAGATAGGCTGAGCCACTAACCCAGGTGAATGAAGAGACAAAATAATTGCAGGGAACAGATTTCTGTTAGTCTGCTAATCTTGTAAGCTTTAAAATATTTTAGTTCATAAGCAGCTTTAAGGCAAAATAAAATGGATAAAAACTCAGTGAACTATTAATATCGGTGACTCCACAGACATTACCCAGTGTTTTCCCAAACTGACACTCATTGCTGGCTACATTCCAGCCTTTTGAAGTAGATGACAAAAAAACAAAAACAATAAAGCAGTTACGCCTTCCTATTTTTTTTCTGCCAGTGTGACTGCTTCACCTGGCATAATTTGCTGGACTGACATGATTTATGAAACAGAAGTTTCTGATGAAAATCTGATATAAATGTTGTAAGTGATACATTAAACAGTGGAAAGGCACTTATTGGGACATAGAAACAAAGTGTATTAGTCACTGGCAACCTGAAAGAGCTTTTTGGTGTTTAGCAATCCTGATATTTAAAAAACAACAACAAAAAAATATCTGGGCACTGGTGGCTCACTCCTGCAAATCTACTTAAGAAGTTGAGATTTGAGGATCCAGGTTGGAAGCCAGAACAGGACAGAAAAGCCTACAAGACTCTTATCTCCAACTAACTACCAAAAAAGCTGGAAGCAGAGCTGTGGCTCAAATGGTAGAGGGTTAGACTTGAACGAAACAGCTCAGGGACAGTGCCTAGGCCCCAAGTTCAAGCCCCATGACTAACACAAAAAATTAAAGTAAGAATAAAAAATTGACTTGTTTCTGGGCATGGTAAGGAATCTTGTAATTTGTCAGCACTAAGGAAGTTAAAAGGATCACTAGGACAGAGCTAGCCTGAAATACATACATGAAACTGTCTTAAATAAAACCAAACCAAACAAAAACCAGACAGGGAGTATTTACTAGAAACCCTCATTAAAAATTTGTAACGAAGGAGGAAAGGTGCCAAGGTAAAACTAGAGCCAACATACTAAAATTCAGTACTATAACAGAATTCAGGATTTTTGTCTTTAAGTCCATTTCTAATACTCTCTCATCACAAACAACTTTTTTTTTTTTTTTTGGGTCCGGTTGTGGGGCCTGAACTCTGGGCCTGGGCACTGTCCTTCAGCTCTTCAGCTCAAGGCTAGCGCTCTACCACTTGAGCCACAGCGCCATTTCCGGCTTTTTTCTTATGTGGTGCTGAGGAATCGAACCCAGGGCCTTGAGCATGTAAGGCAAGCGCTCTACCACTGAGCCACCTTCCCAGCCCCCACAAACAACTTTTAATTAATGTAAGTTATCAAGTTAAAAATGAAAGCCATACCCAGATGCCAGTGGCTCACTCCTGTAATCCTGACTATTAAGGAGGCTAAGATCTGAGGATCACGGTTCAAAGCCAGCCAGGAAAGGAAAGTCCATTACACTCTTCTCTCCAATTAACCATCAGAAAAACCATAGGTGGCACTATGACTCAAGTAGTAGAGACCTAGCCTTGAGCTGAAGAGCTCAGGGACAGAGCCTAGGCCCAGTTCAAGCCCCATGACCAAAAAAAAAAAAAAAAAAACCAAAAAACAAAACAACAACAAAAAAAAAACCAACCCCCTCAAAAAACATAAGCTTCTTCTGTCTTTTAAAAAAATTATATATTTTAATTATCTTTCTTTTCAATTGAAAATTATATAAATAAAATCTTATTAACCAATAATAAAAAGACAAATAACCCAATTAAAAATGGGCAAAAGAATAGACATTTCCAGATAGAATCTTTGCAATTGGCTAATAAGTAGATGAATGTCATCAGAGAAAGTACAAATCAAAACCTCAAAGTTGCTGTCTTAATATTAAGTTATACATGCTTGTTTAAAATAATTTCAGTAGCAAGAGAAACATAGGCAGTGCTACTAGGGTCCAGCTCCATGCAAACAGGACAAGCAAACAAAAGCATACAAATATAAGCAATAAGCATCCACAGGAATACCAATTTTTTCATCTTACTTTCTATGCTCTAGGGAATATTTAAAAACAACAAACAAAAAGAAACCATACATTTTATGTTTCCTTTGAGAAAAATACTATCATATGGTAAAGTTCTTCAACCCCAATTTATTCTTTTTTTTTTTTCTAGTGGTGCTAGAGACCAAACCCAGGGCTTTGTGCATGCTAAGCAAGTGCTGCCACTGAACTACATCCCAGAGTGTACTCTTTGTTATTTGGGAAGACCTAGTTGCTTGTAAATAAGTCTATTGAACAATATTTTCATAATATTCTATATACTGATTTAATTATTATTTTTTATTTTCATAACATGTATGAGACAAAGCATCCCTGGCTGCTACAGGAGTACAGCAGACAGGTATAGTTAAGAAACAACTTTAATCTGAACAGGGCAAACAACAACACAGTTCCTAACAGCTACACTGTAGTCTCAATCCTGCTGCATTTACTTATTTTTCTATAGCTGGAAAATATTTCCAATCTAAAAAAAATACGATACTAGCATGGCCCTCATCATGAACCCATGATCATACTTCCTTACATAAAGGCAAAAGGTAAGCAATGCCACATATATTCCTGGTTGCTAACCACACAACCACCAAGAGGGATCTCTTTTACAAAATAGGAACTAAAAGGAGGTTTCAGGTAATAGTGTTTCATGGTCACAGAATGTTAGTGGTATACAGCGATTTGATCTTCAGGTGTTCTAACAGTTTTGGAGAAAAATTTAACATGTTCATCCACAAGAATTTTAACCAGCATGCAATTCTGTACTACATGTATTACTGGTACTTGAAGAAAGGGGAAATCAAGCTAGGTGACATCTGTAATCCTAGCTCTGATAATCACTGTTTGAAGGTAGCTTGGGCAGACAAATCCAAGAAATTCTTATCTCCAATAAACCAGCAAAATCTGAAGTGCAGGTGTGCCTCAAATGGCAGAGTGCCAGCCTTAAGCAAAAAAGGCCAGCTAGAGCACAAGGCCCTGAGTATAAGCTCCAGTACCAGCATCAAAAAAGTGTGTGGCCACCTGTAATCCTAGCTACTCAGGAGGCTGAGATCTGAGGATCGCAGTTCAAAGCCAGACCGGGCAGGAAAGTTCATGAGACTCTTATCTCCAATAAACTGCTAGAAAACCGGAAGTGGTGCTGTGGCTCAAGCCGTAGAGCGCTGAAGAGCTGAAGAGCACAAGGACAGCACTCAAGCCCAGAGTTCAAGCCCGACAAAAAAAAAAAAGAAAACCTGAAGTGGTGCTATGGCTCAAGTGGTAGAGCATTAGCCTTGAGCAAGAGCTCAGGGACAGTGCTCAGGCCCCATGACTCACTAGAAAAAAAAAAGGGGGGGGGGGGGTGGACCAGATGTAGGCGAAACTGCAGCCCTTCAATTAATTCCCTACTTGCTAAGATAATAGTGATATGCATGAAGTCAACATAATCAGCCAACATTTTCCTGCTACTTCACTTGCATCTTTTTTCCCCCCTTTTTTAAGGCATGTTTTTGCTAGTTGGTAGCCCAGGCTATCTTGAATTTAGGATTTTCCTGCCTCAGTTTCACCATACCCATGGATCTACTTGTACTTTACTTATTTTTGTGGGTCATGGGGCTTGAACCCTGGGCCTGAATGCTGTCCCTCAGCTTCTTCAGCTCAAGGCTAGCAGTCTACAACTTGAGCAACTGTACCACTTCCCTTTTCTGAGTGGTTTATCGGGGTTAAGAGTCTCATGGACTTTACTGCTCAGGCTGGCTTTGTACCGTGATCCTCAGGTATCAGCCTCCTGAGTAGCTAGGATTACACCAGGTATAAGCCTCAGTGGCTGGCTTTACTTGTATCTTAAATCACAATTCATTCATAAACCTTTTTATGTGGGAGTGTTTTCACATTTACTTTTGTATTAATAATTTAGGATTCAGAAATGTAAAATACTCAGAAATCTTTCTTTTGGAAAATTCTACTTAAAAGTAGTAGAAAGCTGGCTGCTGGTGGCTCACAGCTGTAATCTTAGCTACTCAGAAGGCTGAGATCTGAGAATCGTGGTTCAAAGCCAGCCTGGGCAGGAAAGTCCCTGAGAATCCTATCTCTAATAAACCACCAGAAAACAGGAAGTTGTGCTGTGGCTCAAGTGGTAGAGTGCTAGCCTTGAGCTGAAGAGCTCAGGGACAGCACCCAGGCCCAGAATTCAAGCCCCACAACTGACCAAAAAAAAAAAAAAATCATACTTCATTTTCAAATTTGTGCCTCCGTTCCTAAGATACCAGATGAGTGGAAGAGACCTATTCACTCCTTGCTGTTATGATCTTTCCATTCTAGCAGCAGAGACCTTCAGCCTTTTAAAAGGGCTGGGTGACAAAGTAATAAGCTTCCTATGGTTATCACAGGCTGGTCACTGTTTAACCAACCCAGGGAACCATTTACTGCATGCCTGCTATATAGCACAGTGAATGCTACCTACTCCACCCACTTAAGTGGGTGTGTTAGTTCTTTGACCCACAGGATAGCTACAAGAACTGCAATGTGAAGGCACAAGTGCCTCTGATTATATAAAATAGTATTTCTCAAAATGAACTCCAGGAAATGGAAAGAGGTTTTGCCTTTGTTGCTGTGTCTTTTCCTTTTGTCTTGTTTGCTCTTTTGTCTTTGAGAGGCTAAGGGGATGGGGCACAGAAATGGAAAAACAATAAGTGAACAAGTGAAGCAGTGGTACTCACTAGACACTCTGTTGAAACTTGTAGGTGGGGACTGGAGGGAAAAACTGGGAGAGTGATGGAAGGGGTGACATTGTCCAAAAAGAAATATACTAATTACTTGACTTATGAAACGGTAACCTCTCTGTATATCACCTTTATAATAACAACAACAATAAAAAATAATTGTAATGTGTTCTGGAGTTCCATTGTGAGCAAAGTACAGGTACGGTGCCACCTGGAAGGTGCATCAGGAATTTGATACTAGCCTGGACTTAATAGTAAGATTGCCCAGTCAATCAAATCAATCATTCTAGTCAAACATTTCCTTCTCTTTCCTGCAGAATTATCATTGCACCTAGACCTTTAAAAAGAGGACTACTGTCTAGGAAAATAATTACATAACTTTGTAGTTATCTGTTCAAATGTTTAGCACTTCTTTTCGGGCAGTCATCCTAAAGCTAATCAAGAGGAGGACTTCCTGGACAGCCCTGTTTCCCTGTGCTTTTTATCTGGTAGAGAAGAGCTACCCACTTCCCTTACATAATAACAGTCCTGGGGCTGGGAAGGTGGCTCAGCGGTAGAGCGCTTGCCTTGCATGCCTGAGGCCCTGGGTTCGATTCCTCAGCACCATATAAGCAAAAAGAAAAAAGCCAGAAGTGGTGCTATGGCTCAAGTGGTAGAGCGCTAGCCTTCAGCTGAAGAGCTGAGGGACAGCGCCCAGGCCCAGAGTTCAGGCCCCACGACCAGACCAAAAAAAAATAATAATAATAATAATAACAGTCCTTCATAAGTTTCCAAAAGACTAGGTCTTTCTCTTAAAAGATTCCCCTTTTGGGCTGGGAAGTTGGCTCAGTGGTAGAGCGCTTGCCTCACATGCATGAGGCTCTGGGTTCGGTTCCTCAGCACCACATAAACAGAAAAAGCTGGAAGTGGTGCTGTGGCTCAAGTGGTAGAGGGTTCGCCTTGAGCTAAAGAGCTAAGGGACAATGCCCAGGCCCAGAGTTCAAGCCCCAAGTGCTCACCTTGAGCTAAAGAACTGAGGGACAGCGTCCAGGCCCAGAGTTCAAGCCCCATAACTGACAAAAAAGAAAGAGATTCCCCTTTTTTGGGCAAGGTGCCCCAAATTCAACTTCTCTAAATGTTTCTTCTTGAGCTGAGGGAGTAAATTATTTGCATCTGAATAACTGAAGAAGTGGTTCTATGTTGCAGGGTATTCTGACATGTCTAATTTTAGTTTTATAACAAAAAAATTATCAAGCTTTTGATCATACTTTATAGCTTTCCATTACATAATTTTTAAACTATTCAAAACTACTACTCTTTGGAAAGAAAAAGAAATGGCTGTATATCTTCATTCAACAGATTAAAGACAGCTTAGTTTGTTAAAACTAAGATATTTGAAAACTGATTCAGGAACTGAGTCATACTTCCTGCTTTGAGACACAACCACAATGTGAGCGTACTGGTGTAACAGTATTTTCTTTCTTCCATAAATGGCATGTCCCAGAGCAAATATAGTTCAACGGGAACCAAACCTGCTTTTTCGGCTATTGAAAAAGCTAGTCACAAGGCATGACCATTAACGTTTCACAAGGTTTGTATATCCTGTCTAATTTTCCCTAAGGTAGTTGTAAGGAAGAAGTATGTCAAGGGGCCAGCTCTAAAGAACACTAACTTAGGCTGGGCACCAGTGGCTCACGCCCATAATCCTAGCTACTCAGAAGGGCTGAGATCTGAGGATTATGGTTCAAAGCCAGTCTGAGTAGGAAAGTCTGGGAGACTCTCCTCTCCAATTAAACACCAGAAAAACGGAAGTGATACTATGGCCCAAGGTGGTGGAATATTAACTTTAATTAACCTTAAGCAAAAAGAGCTCAGGGCCAGTGTGTAGGCCCTGACTACAAGCCCCATGAGTGACAAAAAAAAAAAAAAAAAAAACTGTAAAGGGAAGTTACTTTTGACTAAACTTCAAAGCAAAAGCTTAAGATTATAAAATCTTAGCATAGTTATATTACTGCCTCCATGATGTTCTAAAATAAGAACAGAACCTATTTTATTCTTACAATAGCTATTTTTGTACTAGTTAACAAAATACTTATTCTCTGCTATTTAAAGAAAAGCTAACTTATTTTGTCTTTGTTCCCATTGTTTGTAAAATATTGGTAACCTATTTGGAGAAAATGGTAAAATCCCTTTAAGATATTGATTAAGTTATTAAACGTTGGTTACAGAACATCTTTATTTCTCCAAGTTAAAAAGCACACAGGCAAAAAGCCAAAATCTTTTCTGGGAAGCATTTCTTTTCATGGTTATAGGAAATGAAGCCAAGAGCCACTTGGCTAGGTGAGCAAGCAAACTGTGCAGAGTGGCTGGTGTCTTGTGTGTGGTAGGGATGACTTAGTACCAAATTCTACTGTGAGAGTAAAGCTGCCAACAAAAGGTGAGGGTAAGAGTCCTAGAAAAATGATGTGGAACTTACCTCATCAGCACCATGTGCCTGAAGTTCCTTGTAGAATTTCAAAGAAATACTGACCATCACTTTTGTTTTATCCCCATTAGGATTTGAAATATGATAGAGGACTCCATCAAAATCTGTGAGGAAAGCAAATAAAATGACTTACCCTGGGAAGAAGGAATGATCTCTCCAAGCACTTACCTTAGATCAGGCCACAATAAAGACCTTTTGTTACAAAGACACTTGTAAAACAATGGTCTATTTTAAAATCCCGTGAGCAGTCAGCAAAAATACCTCTGCATA